CATCGCACCAGTTTGTTATTATTTTAAACGATACATTTCAACAAATAAAGATTGAGAAACATAGTTATTGGGTGAACACTGAAAAACGGTTATAACAAATAGAGAAAGAAGAAAATATAAAGAAGAAAGAAGAAGAAGGATTAGGGTAAATTGTTATACCGTTCACTTTCTTAATATTATAAAAGAGTACAAGTGAATAACACAATTGGGCACACTCAATAAACTGAGTGATCTAACCTATATATAGACTAATTAGATAACTTGCAACTCAAGCTAACTAAACAATTAGATTCTTAACACAAGACCCAATTCGACATACATTTCGACAATACATATTAGAACAGACTTCAACTATAATATGTATCCTTCGACCACAACATGCGATCCATCTTCGACTTCATGCTTGTCTTCTGTTGAAATACATGAAAGCTATCCTTGACAGAGTTAGAGTTCGATCCAGAATCTCACAGTTGGATATCTTGAAAAAAAAATTCGGGGTGCCTCGTTTTATTGATCTTGAGAAAGATCAAATGCTGGACGCATAATATTCTTCATGGCTTTTGCATTCATTTGTTTCTGATATAAAACAAAAAAATGTTAGATAAATAAAATAAGTATTCAGTTATATGATTATTTAAGAACACAACCCTTGAACCCAAATGATTTTCTGTTATTGCAATCCCATCCTAGAGAACTTTTCCTAAATAAAATAAATATTTTTTTAAGTTTCAAAATTTTCATGTCAAATGTTTCATTATCAATTTTTAATATTCAAAATGTTATTATAATGAGGTTTTAGGTTTCACGCAGATCACTAATGGCAGTGTCTTGAGCGTTGATACTCATTAAATGAATGACAAAGATTTGTTTAAGGACGGTGAAAAAGCTGAATAAATACGCTTATATTTTACTTCAGTTATTACTCGAAACTGAGATAAAATGTATTTCTTTTTAAATATAAAAATACAATAAAATATGTTTCATCCCAAACGTCACATACCTCTTTGTTTGTTTACAAAATCGAGGGGATTTTTTTTTTGTTTTTAAAGTAAATTGTTTACACAGAATATTAAATAAATTGTTGAAATAAATTCAGATTTTGACAATGGATTCTTGGAGAACAAAAAATCTTTTCAAATTTCTGATAAGCTATATGTTTCTACCAAGATAAAGTTTTTTTTACACTTGCAATCCATCTTAGAGAGATTTCATTATCTTAAGCAAATGTTATCATGACAAATACTTTCACATGAAAGTGAAAAAAATAATTGTGCTTGTAATTTACACATGTTTAGGAGTAAAATTTCTCAATGTTGTCAACCGAGAAAAACAATAAATTAATGAATGTTTTCTTTGATTAACAACATATGGTAGTTATTCCAAAAATACAACAACAACATCAACACCATTATGCTGAGATGAATTGAAAGAGCAGAAAAAATGTTTTGTTCAAAATAGAAGAACATTTTAGACTTTTTTTTTGTCTTGCAAAATCCATCCCAAAGTATGATGCATAAAAGTTTGGAGCGGCTACATATAAGTTAGGTTTAGGATAAAATGTGATTAACAAATGCTTTTATAATAAAATCTAAAAAAATCTAATCCTCGGTTATTAAATATAATCGAAGGAATAAATCATTAATTTTTTTTAAAAAAAGACATCATTTAAAAAAAATAAAAATATAAACTGATGTTGCTGGGATTCAAAGCATGTCTTGAATTATTTTTCCTCTTAGTTATATTTAGAAACCAAGAGAATATGTTTTATTTATTTAAAATACATTATTTTGTTGAATAAAGTGAAAACTTTATCATAAAATAGTAGTAATATTTTTGATAAAATTTAACAGAAATGACTAATGTAATTAATAGAAGGATTTGAGAGATTTAAAAAGAATGTTTATTAAATAAAGAACAATAATGAAACCTAAAACTAAATTACGGGACAAAAAATGTATTAGACCATTTCTTAAACATGCCATCATCTAAAAAGTCAACCAACAATGAAGTACGATATCATGCAATTGTATTTTTGTTGTTGCTTTTTATTTAGAAATGAATGAGAATTTTTCACTCATATACCCATGTTCGGCCCTATTATTTATCAATATACCCACCCTTTCAAATTAAATCTCATTCTACCCATATTTCAAACAATTTTTTATTTGTAAGGGAGACGCCATCCATGATGGAGGCACCCTTATAAATATAAGGGGGGTGTTAGACGATGACACGGATCTAAAAAATGAGTCGACGCTACTAATAAAATGGTTTTTAAAAAATTTGTTTAATTTGCGGAAGCGGCCGTGGAAAAATTACTGTCTATAATGAACGATTACTAGAAAACTGGATATGCGTTTTAGCCGATGGAATCAGATAACGAGTAATGAGAATGACTATGCTAGTCACACTCTCAATTTGATTTAGCTCACAATGTGGTATGACTAGTTCCAATGCCTTAAAATGCCAACAAAATAAATGGACAGAACACAAGGCTTTTCGTTCAGGAAATTTATCAAACATTTGGAGTGCAGAGCACTACAAGTGAGTTTAGCTTTGAGTAATTTGCTCTAATTTCCTTGTACAATCAACGATTGTACTAAAGTCAAAAACAATTTAGACCTTACTCAAAACAGTCTTAAATTTGATATAATTGCTTGTACTAAAACCATACAAATATTAAGCATATGTAAAAGCGTAAGGTAAAAGGCACAAGGATTTCTTGAAGCAGTTTCCCCGCCGTCCTCGCTTCGGGGTACGTCTGCCCTCAATTCTGACAATAGAATTGAGCTCTTATAATATAAATTTTAACCTGTTGCAGAATCGTATATACAACAATAAAATATCAATCAAACAAACAAACTCCTTTGTTGTAGTAGAAGCTATCTCCTCTTGTCCCTTGATTCGAGTCGAATCAAGTCCTTCGACAGCTTGTGTATGAACCTTCGATTACAGCTCTATGTTTGAACGACCTTCCGTCTTCAAACCCCAGCCCGACTGATCTCAAACACTCGCGTGTCGAACCTGAACTTCTCCTTCACAATTCGCCGATTACCGCTACTAGATCAACGGAACCCACCGCTCCTCGATCACCTTCACTCGACCGAATATATGTTGAGGAGACTCGTCCAAAAACCCCCAAATGCAGAGAATCTTGGAGGACAAAACCCTAGAGGTTTTATTCAAGAAAAACATGTCAATTCCTCAACCTGAACCGGATTACCCAATCACGGTTTCGAACGTTATCACCTTAGACAATCCATAATGCATAGCAAAGATTATAGTGTGTGATTGTTGTGATATGAAATGTAGAAGATGAAGATGATGAGAACTTGAATGGACACCTCTTTCACTTTTCTTGTTTTTGTAATTGATTCAATTGATATGAAAAGAATAGAGCAACTGAATATTTATACCAGACAAAACAATTATAACTGATAAAACCAACTTTCAAAAATAATAGACAACTCAAAAATTATGCAGCAAACAGCAAGCGGTCGATCCATGCAGAGTGCAGGGTCGACCTGAGTTAACCCGAGGCAACATATTGTGCAAACCACACAACTATGCGTCAACCAGAACAAGGCTATGCGTCGACGCAAAGCTTGAATTTTTTGACAAATACAAATGACAACAGTATGTGTCGACCGGTAGGTCAACCATACCAGACCCGAGAAAAATGCATTTCTAGGACACTTGCCATGAGTCGACCGGAGCAGAGTTTAGGTTGACTCAAAGACCTGAAATATCAAAAAGTGCTTAAATTCATATTTTTTTTATTCTTTTAGGTGAAAGCTATGATAGAACAATTGAGTTTGACACGTATGACGCATATTTTGACAGCTCTAAATGCAATACTCGAGATTTTTAGTGCAAGCAAGCAAACATGAGAAATATATGTTCATGCATCATGGTGATAACACCAAATGATTATTCTTCCATGCGACTCAGTTTTGACATCATCGAAACACGCATATCAAGTATCTGAGACTTTTCCCTCACAGGGGGCGCCATCCATGATGGAGCCAGCCTTAAAATCTGAGGAAGTATCGTTTCCACTCAATTACAAGTTAGTCATGTGTTGGGGAGGACAATACATATGACTTAATGATAATGCCTCTTCATCTATGTCTTCAAGTGGAGTTATTGCGGAGTAGTCCCTAGTCCCGAACAAATTCACCATTTGATCAACCATGGTTCCAGGTTCTTCTTCCTCCTCGTCCACAACATCAACTTCATCTTGATCCAATGAATGTGACTGACCTATTAACTGAGATTCACCAAACATTTGAGATTGTTGAGTCTGGCAGAGTAATAGATACAACTCGATATAGTCGAACCCAGAGTGTTCATGACTATCAAACATTTGTTGAACATCGTTATCGTCCTGTATATTTTGTTGAAAGGCTGACTCCATCATGGATGGCGCCTCCCTTATACATTTTTTTTTTAGTTTAAAATGTGGGTAGAATGAAATTTAATTTAAAATGGTGGATATATTGATAAATAATAGGGTTAAACATGGGTATATGAGTGAAAAATTCAATGAATGAGATATAATTGTATTAAAGAAAGGTCAACATTAGTTCAATGAGGCATAATTGTATTAATGAAAGGTCAAGGTCAACTCAGTTCAATGAGACATAATAGTATTAACGAAAGGTCAACATCAGCTGAATGATGCAAAATCACATGCATCTCATTTCATTCAAGTTGGTTAGATATATCTAATAACTTATCAATCTCAAGTGCACTATTATGGGAATGGTAAGTAGAGAATAGAATGTCATACTACTCATTTGACTTAGAGAATGGTACGTAGGAAAACGAATGGTAGACGAAAGAATGGTGGGAGAGGCATTGAGAATAGTAATAATTTATAAAAAAAACGTACCAAAATGATTGAGTCCTTACTTTATAAATTCCGCTTAAAATAAACTATAAGCATCATTCACACTAGCTAGGCTTCTTTGTTTGTTCTTTTCCTTGTACAAAAACTAATGATGTCTTGTTCAATAGAATCCTATGTTGCTCATGTCGCTTTCCTTCCAAGTGCTGGCTTAGGCCATCTCAATCCATGTCTAAGAACAGCTGAACTATTTCTTCGTTATGGATGCAAACTCACTCTCATTACACCAAAACCAACTATCTCTTTAGCTGAGTCAGATCTCATCACTCATTTTTGTTCTTCTTTCCCTTCATCTCAACTCACTCAAATCGACTTAAATCTCATCCCTTTAGATCCATCCATCAATGTTAACAGCGTCGATCCTTTTTGGATTCAGTTCGAAACCATTCGTCGATCGCTTCAACAACTTTTACCTTCCATTCTATCAACACTTTCACTCTCAGCTCTCTTCTATGATGTTAGTTTGATTTCACCTTTGGTTTCCATCATGGAAAGTTTCTCTTTTCCTAGCTACATTTATTTCATAGCACCGGCTAGAATGTTTTCTTTCTTTGCATATCTTTCTGTTCTTTCTGAGAAAAACAAAGATGAAAAACATTTTTCATTCAACGGTGATTTTGTTGAAATACCTGGAATTGCACCAATACCAAGATCTTCACTGCCTCCTTTGATTCTTCAACCTAATAGTCTTTTTGAGAAGATACTTATGGAGGATAGTCCTAAACTTACAAAGCTTAATGGGATTTTTATGAACTCTTTTGAAGAATTAGAAGGTGAGGCATTGACTGCACTTAATGATGGAAGAGTAGTTCCTGGGTTGCCTCCTGTTCATGCTATTGGTCCTTTGGTGCCATGTGAATTTGAAAAGGTTCATGTCTTACTTCTCACTCCTTGAAAATCACAGTAAAATTTCTGCATGCTAAAATTTCAATGAGAAATGATAAACTAACTTTTGTCTTTGTCTAATATGTAGGTAAGATGCTCAGCTAATGATTGCACAAATTCTATATTGAAGTGGCTTGATGAACAAGCTACAGGGTCAGTGGTATATGTTTGCTTGGGAAACAAGACACAAACAAAGAGGGAACAGATAAAAGATATGGCTAATGGGTTAATATCATGTGGTTTCAAGTTCATATGGGTGGTGAAATTGAAAGTAGTTGACAAGGAAGAAGAGGAGAATTTAGAGGATGTATTAGGCAATGATATAATGAAGAAAGTGAATGAAAAGGGTATAGCTACAAATGCATGGGTTAATCAAATGGAGATTCTTGGTCACCCATCAACTGGAGGGTTTGTAAATCATGGTGGGTGGAATTCAATAGTAGAAGCTATATGGCATGGAAAGCCTATTCTATCATGGGCTCATGATGGGGATCAAAAGATAGCATCTGAAGCACTGCAAATGAGTGGGGTGGGGGTTTGGCCTCAAGAGTGGGGGTGGGGAAAGCAAGATCTGGTGAAAGAGGAGGAGATTTCAAAGAGAATTAAAGAGATGATGAGTGATGAGTCTTTAAGGATCAAAGCTAGGAAAATGATGGAGGTTGCTAGAAAAGCTGCTGGTGTTGGTGGGAGTATTGAGATTGTGATTAAGAAACAAATTGAGGAGTGGAGAATGAATGCTCAAGATATATGATAGAAGATAATTGAGGATTAGGTTGTTTAAAATTTAATTAGTTTATGCTCTTTTTTTTTTCTTTTCTTTCTTTAAGTTGTATCTCTGTTTTCTTGATTAATGCTAGTTTGTTAGCTAGCTTGAAATGCATTAGTCCGTTCACTTATAGTGAAATTATGAAAAATCTCTTAAATAACGTTCATTTGTGGTGAAATGTTTGAAAAATTTCTTAAAATGATAACATTTGGTTTTGAACACTTGATCTCCACATTTTATTATAATTGGTTTCAGTGATATTTACGTGCCACTTTATTTTTACGATGACTACCAGGGCCGATTTAATAAATTCGGAGGCCTCGTTCTAATTTAAAAAATAGCCAAATTTTTTATTAAAAAAATACAATTAAAATAATTGAAAATAATATAAAAACATAATAATATATTAATTAAAAATAAATTTAATTATAATTATTTTGACATTTGATCCATCTCATTTTTTTTATGTATTGAGTTTTAATCATAGTATTTTTTTTATTGAATTTTTATTATAATATTTTTTTTATATCTATTAGTGTTAATAAAAAAAAATTACAACTTTCAAAATTTGGGACCGTCTAATATTTGGGACCTTATGTGGTAAAGCTTGTCATTCTTGCACTGGATCGATTCTGATGACTATTAGTCCGTGGTAGTAAAGATAACACATACTACCACACTTTTAATTACTACGAGCCACCATTTATGGTAGAATCCTCCTCTCAACTTTGATAAAATATGTTTTTTATAGTAGTGAAACACTATTTTTCTTTCTTAAGTCATTTTAATTTATGAATAAACTATTAAAACACGTCATGTAAGTACAATTCGGGTTGTCACAAAATTGATCGAAAATTCGTCAGAAAATCACAACAATACCAGAACTTGCACTAAGCAGATCCGACAACTGCATCACTACATCCGAATCATCGGAAGACGCACATCACATCGGAACTCGCGTGTCACTATCAGATATCGCCACAACTCCACGCCTCCATCCACACCATCGAACTTCATCGTGAATCCGACATTTCATAGATTTATTTCCTTCTCTTTGAATCACTCCATTTAGGTCTATTCCTGGTTTGTTGTTGAAGATCGTTATTGATGTTGATTAGAAAAGTTGATTCACTTTTAATATCAATTTTTAATTTTGTGGAAGAAGAGTTTGAAGGTGAGAAAAATACACAAGAGGGGGAGTTGAATTGTGTGTTCAAACAAATTTGTTCCATTTTTGAACTCAGAAGTTCAGAGTCCGAACTATGTTCAAAGTCTGTTAATAGAATATATACTAGTAGTGAAAAATAAAGTTCAGAAGTAAATGTAAGAAACACACAAAGATTATCCTGGTTCCTCTCCTTAACTGAGAGTAGTCAAGTCCCCATGTCTCAACAAGAGCTTTTCACTATAACCAAACTGATTACAAATGCTTAAGCCACTGTTCAAGACTTCCTGCTCAAGCAACCTTGAATGAAACTTCCTTGCTTAAGGCACTGCTCAATCCTTCCTACTTAAACCCTCTGGTTCAAGACTTCCTTACTCAATCAATCTTGAGTGAGACTTCCTACTTAAACCCTTGGTTTAAGATTTTCTGGCTTAATAACGTAGGCAAGAGACTTCTTATGCTTTAAATAAACTATTTAATAGACAAGATAACTACTATATTTGATTCACAATCCGAAGAATAAGAGTTGTGCAACAAACGCAAAGATTTTTATTGGAAGAAATAGATAAAAGTTATTGTAATTTTATTCCTTAGTAAAATGCTGGTTTATATAATGAGAATATAATAAAAATACTTAATTATCTCCTTAATAGAGAATAAATGAAAATAAACGTAAACAATTAAATGTAAAAATAATATATTTTCTAACACACCCCCTCAAGTTGTTGCATATATATCTATCATGCTCAACTTGTCTATCAAATGCTCAAAGGTAAGTCTTGCCAAACTTTTGATCAAGATATTCGCAGTTTACTGACTTGAAGTCACGAAAGGTAGACATATGATTCCAACATCTAACTTCTCCTTTATGAAGTGTCGGTCAATCTCAATATGCTTGGTTCTGTCATGTTGAACTGGATTATGAGCTATGCTAATAGCAGCTTTACTGTCAGAGTACAATTTTAATGGAAGCTCAAATTTCATCTTAAGTTCTTCTAAGAGTCTAAGGATCCATGATCCTTCACAAATATCTTGAGACATAGCTTTAAACTCGGCTTCTGCACTACTCCTTGCTACAACGCCTTGTTTCTTGCTCCTCCATGTCACAAGATTACCCCAAACATAGGTATAGTATCCAGAAGTTGATCTTCTATCAGTGACTGAACCTGCCCAATCAACATCGATGAAGATAGACACATTCCTTTCACTAGTCGTCTTAAAAAATAATCCTTTTCCAGGATTTCCCTTTAGATATCTTAATATCATATAGACTGCCTCAAGATGTTCTTCGAAAGGAGAATGCATAAACTGACTGAGAAAGAAATATTAGGTCGGTTGTGTGACAAATAAATCAGTTTCCCAACCAATCCATGATATCTTCCAGTATGAATAGGAACATTACCTTCTCCTTAAAGTTTAACATTAGGATCCATAGGGGTATCTGCAGAATGACATCCATTCATTCCTGTTTCTTTCAATAAGTCTAGAATGTATATCTGCTGTGAAACCACGATACCATTCTTTGACCGAGCAACCTCCATGCCAAAAAAATCTCATGAATCCCAAGTCCTTGATTTCAAAGTTTACTGTCAATTTCTCTTTTACCCTTGCTATTTCCACTATATCGTCTCTAGTAAGGATAATATCATCAACTTAAACAATCATAACAACAACTTTCCCATCGTTGGAGAATTTTATGAACAAGGTGTGGTCAGTCTGTCCTTGAATGTACCTTGATTCTTCATAGACTAAGTGAATTTTTCAAACCAAGCTCTGAGAGACTACTTTAATCCATACAAAGACTTATTTAGTTTGCATACATTTGATCCAAATTTGTTTTCAAAACTAGGAGGAATGTCCATATATACTTCTTTTTCTTCTAGATCACCATTAAGAAAAGCATTCTTAACATCTAACTGATGTAGGGGCCAATCTAGGTTAGCAGCAAGAGATAAAATAATTCTTATAGTGTTCAATTTTGCAACAAGAGCAAATATCTCTGAGTAGTCTATACCATAGGTCTGAGTGAAGCCTTTAGCCACCAAGCGAGCCTTGTACCTTTCAATTGACCCATCTGAATTATACTTCACAGTAAACACCCATTTTTATCCAACTGTCTTCTTGCCATTTGGGAGCGACGTAACACTCCAAGTTTTGTTCTTTTCAAGAGCTTTCATCTCCTCAGGTACAATTTCCCTCCACTTTGGAATTTCTACACTAGACAATTTTGAGGTGAAGGCAGACATAGATGAAGACAAATTTGAATATGAAATAAAATTGGACATGGGGTGTTTAGTGCAAGATCTGACAGATTTTCTAATGGCAACAGGATCATCTATATCAGGATACAAAATACGACTATAAAAAATAGAGATAGACTTACTTTTCCTTTTGTTAGGAGGTTGATCACTCCCCAGTTCAGATTCCTGGCAGTGTTGAGATGTGGACTCGTCCCTTTGTTTATAGTGCTTTTTCATAAAAACCTTCCCTTTCTAAGTCATGTTTCCTAATTCGAATCTATTTTCTTGAAGTGATTCCTTATTTTGTGGCATTTCAATTAGATAATCATTATCATCGTCTTCAGGATTCTCATTATTTTCTACAAGAGAAAATGTAGGCTCGGATTCACAAGGCTCCTTACTCTTAACAGGAGTAGGATCAGATACAGAATCATGGCCATTTTCGGTTGGTGCAGATGTAAAAGTTTCAGAATTTTATGGTACAGGCAAAGATAAATTTTTCAAAAAACTCATGTCCTCAATTTGAAACGAGTCTTCCTTTGTCTCCCCCCTTGATGATGAGTTTCATCAAAGAAAGGTTTATTTTCCAAAAATGTAACATCCATAGTGACAAACATTTTCTTATTTTTTGGATCAAAACATTTATATCCTTTTTGGGTTGAAGAGTATCCAACAAATACACATTTTATAGCACGTGGTTCAAGTTTTCCAACATTTTTATGTTCATGAACAAAAGTTGTGCAACCAAAGATTTTTAAAGTCAAATCAGTTAAAATGAGAGTACTAGGAAAACATTCTTTGAAGACTGTAAGTGCTCTTGATTGGCTGCATTTTGTGGCAAAACACTAGAGCATGTTTGTATGTTATGACTGATGTTAGTGCATACATAATATGGTCTGTGCAGGGTAAGTTGACTTAGCTAAAAACAAGTTAAGTTGTATGTCATACCCAATGTTATGACTTGGGTCGTATGACATCAAGTGCAGGTTTGTTTTTCTGGTAGCTATAAAATAGGAAACAGAATAGGAGTTCAAGTTGGATATTAGGAGACTTTCTAGAAGCCCTAGGCAAACTAGAATATCCCTGAATTAAGTGGCAAGCGTGCAGATTATTGAAGATAGGTTTGTTATGGATAAAACCTAATTTGTGCACCAAGGCCCAAAAGGACTGACAACTGCTATAAATATCAGAAGAAGAAATCCTGAACAGCAGCGCTTGACAGAAGAATAGAGAGTGCAGATTGCAGAGTCCTTGTGAGTGAAAAAGGCTAGTCTTCACATGTGAATTGAGTCTTAGGAATACTTGTACTCCAAGTAATTGTCTGTTGGATGAGTGCATTGGTTAGGTAGATTCTAAGTTGTGTCTCACTCAAAGCTGTGAAGCAAGAGTGTGTGTACCTTGATTAAAGCTGTGAAGCAAGATCAAGGTGTGTATGAAGTGTCTCTTCATATTGTTTTTGTAATTGTGAATTGTATATCATTGTGGTGTGATTGAGGGGGAGTGAGTGGGAATACTCAGGTCTAGAGTGTCTCTAGGCTGAATTGTCATTGGGTAGGTTTTAAGTGAGGAGTGCCAACTAT